GTCTCGCTGCCCAGGCGGGTCTCGAACCCGCGGGCTCAGGCAATCCACTCACCTCAGCCTCCCAAAGACGCGGGATTACAGGCTGAGCCACCGAGCCCGGCTTGGGAGCTTTTAGAATATTCCATTTATCATTTGATGTTTAAAATTGAAGATGGAATGACTAGGTCTGGTTTTTTTTTTCATGAACACTCTGTACATTCTGTGACTCTTTTCACAATGAAGACATAGGTCCTTTTGATCTCTCAGAAGTTTTCTTCTGTTTCTTCTTTGATCACTTCCCCCCTCGGTTGTCTGCTTCTCTTTCTAGAACTTATGTTGATCCCAGGTGGCCCTTCATTTAAGTTGTAGCTCCTTTATGCTAGGCGTTGTAACCTTCTAGGAGTCCATAGGAGCTGTGAGTACCTGGGTGAAGCTTGCCCTTGAGAATTTGAATCCATCCTAAATTTTGTATAGAATCAGAATCAGTAACACTCACATTCTTCAAAGAATGGAACTCAGAGGCAACATACTAAAATGAGCAAATTTAGTATATAGATTTTCTTATTGCTGCTTATCTTTTACTATAATTCACCATTTGTATTTTACTTCATAGCTTTTAATTATTCGTCTTTAATGTTTTTCAAGTAAGGACAAATAGAATGTTTTTTATTTCAGCAGCACTACTGAGCCTGAAATTGAGTCTGACCATCTAAATAATTCAACACGGTCTTGGAAGGAAAAATATTCTGGGCATCACTTAGGGTTTCATTACAAGCAATAGAAACCAATTTTGCCTTTAAAAAAAAAAAAGGCTTATTTGGCAGAGTTAAGGCAAGATGCAAACAATCAGGTCTCCAGGCGGCCAAGTATTAGGACAGTTCTGGTCATTTCCAAGGCAGGAGTGAATAGGCAGTCTCTTTAGAGTGCTGACAGTAGAAAGATCCTTCTTTAAATGTCTCCGTGAATTGTGACCTTCTGCTAACCAGTCAGGTTGCAAGGAGAAAACTGTCCATTGAACTTGACTCGCATGCTTACTTTGTGGGAGGAGATGGGGCCATAATGGACAGTTTCACGATGAGCACAGAGAATAGAGGAGGGGTAGTTCCCAATGGAAAAAAAACAGATTCGTCTTCAAAAAATAGACAGATTAAAAATCCCAAGTGTCCACTCTATTCTGTACTAATGAGCGATGTTCAATTCTGACTCTCTTGTTCCCTTCTGATCCTAGTGCTGCCTCCTGTGCTTGTGCCAAGACACAGTGAATACAACCCCCAGCTCAGCCTCCTGGCCAAGTTCCGCAGCGCCTCCCTGCACAGCGAGCCGCTCATGCCGCACAATGCCACCTATCCCGACTCTTTCCAGCAGCCTCCATGTTCTGCACTCCCTCCCTCACCCAGCCACGTGTTCTCGCAGTCCCCGTGCATGGCCAGCTACCCTCACTCCCCAGGGAGTCCTTCCGAGCCAGAGAGTCCCTATCAACACTCAGGTCAGTAAGAGCTTCGGTCTGTGGGAAAATATGGGAAGAAAGGACCCAACATGACTATTTATGGTGGACTATCAGATTGCAGTCATTGTAGCTGAACATTTGTACAGTGCCTCATGGTTCAAGAGCAATTTCCTGTAGGTCACTGGACCCCGCCCATGCCTAAAAAGATCGGGACTTTGCCTGTTTTGGAACAGGTACCCTGAGCTACAATATGTTTTTGCTCCAGTTTCAGGCTCTAATGCTCTGGAAGCTCTCAGAAACTAGATGGCTTCAAACAGCATCCCTGAGAATTTCCAAGGATTTTTTTTTAAAGGTAGTAGAAGTAAGATTAAATTTTTCTAACCCAAGCAGGAAGAGTTGGCCTGAGGGCAAGCAACATGGAGGATCAGTGCCAGGCCTTTTCTTTGGTTGTTTCTTTCAGCAATCAAAGGGAGTCCCTGCCTACAATAGATGTCCCTATTGCTTGAGCGGGCCAGAGAGTGAAACCCCATCTTTAGCCTGTGCATTCTGAAGCCAGGACAGAATATTGAATATAGAGCTCTTCAGTTTGCTGAGTTGAAAAAGCATATGGAAGGGAAGGGGAGATTCTAGCATACTGTCATAATTGCACTTGCTGCCACACCTATAAAGTGGATCTAAGTTGAGATAACAAATAAAAGATATACATACACACCTTATGAGTGTGAGAGAAATACTATCTGGAGCAAGTTCCTAAAGGCATGTATAAATACATTTGCTGCCAGATGTTACTATCTGCCTCACTCATTTATTCATATATTCATGTAGTCAACAGATACATATTAAAACTCTTACTATATGGAAGCATTGCCTTTGCATTCCTGAAAGGAGAATTAAAAGATAATAAAAAGTGTCCCTGTCCTTAAAGAATTTATAAAGTATAGGGAGATAAAGAAAGAGTTGCCTTCTAAGTTGTTTAGTTCTTTTTGCCCCCTCAGCAATTTACATATCCATCTACTATTACATTTATCACACTATATCATTGTTTGTGTGTCTATTTCCCCCATTAAACTGGGAGTCTTCCCTTTTCAGTGTCCAGCACAGAGTCTGAAATGCAATGGTTTCTCATCAGGTGCTTATTGAGTAAACAAATGACCACACAGGCGTTTGGAACATAAGACTAGAGCTCAGCACCATAAGGACAGGTTTTATTGACTCAGTAAGTGATGACTGAGCACCTGCTAAGCGTTCAGCACTGTGCCAGTGCTAGAGGTGCAGTGATAACGAAGACAACGCAGCTGTCACCCCTTATTCATAGTTTCAGCTACCTATTGGTCAACAAGAATCTGAAAATAATATATGGAAAATTCCAGAAATAAACAATTCATGAGTTTTAAATGGTGCACCATTCTAAATATTGTGATGGAATTGCCCACCATCCTGTCTGAGATCTGAATCATCCTTTTGTCCAGCATATGCTTCCTATATATGTTGCCCACCATGAGTCACTTGGTAGCCATCACTGTGATCAGATCAACGGTCTCACTACCTCAGTGCTTGTGTTCATATAACCCTTATTTGACTTATTGGCCCCAAAGCACAAGAATAGTGATACTGCCATATTTTTACGATTATTCTATTTTACGACTGGTTATTGTTGCTAATCTCTTATTGTTTGAAATTTACAAATTAAACTTTATCATAGGTATGTATGAATAGGAAGGAACATAGTACAAAGGAAAAACCCATAGTATAGAGTTCAGTACTGTTCTTGGTTTCAGATATTCGCTGGGGACCTTGGACCGTGTCCTCCACAGAGAAAAGAGGACTATTGTGGTCTCTGATCTTCACAAGGCAGTAACTGTTGAGAACAATCTCATAAGTAGGTAACCTTTAGCAGTTCAGGCAAGTAGTTACAAGGACTTGAACTAAGTAGGGCTGTGGGGTTGGAAAGAAGGCAGTGAGTTGGTGGAGGGGACTCAGTGGGACTTGCTGTGGGGTGAACGCAGAGATGGAAGTTCGGTAGTCCTTCACTCAGTGTGGGAGCAGATGGCTGAAGACTTGCAAGGGGCTGAGTTCACTGAGAAAGAAGCGCAACACGGAGAGAGAAGTGACTTGAGGGCAGAGCCATGGTTAAGGGAACAGGAGGATAACTATGTTCCTAAATCTATTTACATAACACACATCTATGATATAAAGACGTCCTGTGCTGACTTTGCATTCTCACCCTGGTTACACTGAGAGGTTCATGTTCTTTTTTTTTGAGTCAGAGTCTCACTCTGTTGCCCAGGCTGGAGTGCAGTGGCACGCTCAAAACCACCGCAACCTCAACCTGCTGGACCCAGCCTTCCAGGTAGCTGGAACTATAGGCGCGCACTACCATGCCTGGCTTGATTTTTTGATTTATTCTAGAGATGAGGTCTCACCAAGTTGCCCAGGCTGCTCTTGAACTGCTGAACTCCAACAATCTTCTCGTCTCAGCCTCCCAAAGTGCTGGGATTATAGACTTGAGCCACCGCGCCCAGCCTGGTTCATGTTCTATTTCTTCTTCCCATCCTTGAAGGACAGATTCCAACCACGATGCAGAAGCTAATTGGTTTCTCACAGAAGGGATACCCCTTTTCATTCCAAAGAAAGTGATTCTTTTCTGATTAGCAGGAAAATGTTGGCCTGAATAACAACAGAACTATAGATAAATAAGAGCAAAAGTAACTTCTGAGATCAACTAGTTCAGCCCCTAAAATTATTTACAGCTTTATAGAGCTATAATTCACACACTATGTAATTCTTCCATCTCAAGTGTATAATTCAAGGGTTTTTCATATATTTCATTAATCTTGTAAAGTTGTGATAAAATATATCTAACACAAAATTTGTCATTTTAACCATTTTAATGGTACAGTCTGGTGGCATTAAGTGCATACATAGTGTTGTGCAACTTTCACCATTATTTATTTTCAGAACTTTTTCATCATCCCAAACAGAAACTCTGTAATGTTTAAGCAATAATTCCCATTTCCCCCATTCCCCAGTTCCTAGTAACCACTAATCCACTTTCTATGTCAATGAATTTGCCTATTCTAGGTACCTGATAGGCTTTATATAATATCTGCCCTTTTGTGTCTGCTTATTTCACTTGGCACAATGTTTTCACAGTTTAACCATGTTGTAGCATGTATCAGTACTTCATTTTTTTGACTGAACAATATTCCACTGTATGGATGTACCACATTTTTAAAAATCCATTCATTGGTTGTTAGATATTTGAATTGTTTCACCTTTTGGCTATTGTGAATAATACCACTATGAATCTTAGAATACAAGTATCTGCTTGTGTCCCTGCTTCCATTCCCTTTGGGTATATACCTAGGAGCGGGACTCCTAGACTGCACATGGTAATTCCATGTGCAGCCCTCTTTTAAAAAAAATTTTATTAGAGACTGGATCTTGCTCTGTCACCCAGGCTGGAGTGCAGTGGCATGATCATAGCTCATTGCAGCCTGGGCTCAAGCAATCTTCCAGAGTAGCATGCCTACAGGTACACACCACTACATCTGGCTAATTATTATCTTTCTTAATTAAAAAAATTTTTTTTGTAGGAATGGGGTCTCAAACATCTAATCTCAAGCAATCTTCCCACCTTAGCCTCCCAAAGTGCTGAGATTACAGGTGTCAGCCACTGTGCCTGGCCCCATATTTATATGAATGAATAAACATGCCATAAATACATATACTCAAGGGCCCACAATAGGGCTACCTTGCTTTCTAACTTTTTTACAGGATTAGGGTCCATATTTTCACAAGGAAATACCTTACCTGTGGTTTCCTAGTGAGGTCCATGAACCCTTGCGTTAGAATTGCCATTGGTGCCCGTTGAAACCTGTTTAGTTACATCTAGCCCCTGATCTATGGAATTTTGAGGAGTGGGACCTGGAATCTGCATTTTTTTTTTTTTTTGAGTTGGAGTCTCACTCTGTCGTCCAGACTGGAGTGCAGTGGCCGCTCCCGGCCACCGCAGCCTCGGCCTGCTGAGCTCCAGCGATCCTTCCGCCTCAGCCTTCCGAGTAGCCGGAATTACAGGCATGCGCCACCACACCCAGCTGATTTTTTGATTTATTGTAGAGATGAGGTCTCACTGCCCAGGCGGGTCTCGAACCCGCGGGCTCAGGTAATTCACTCACCTCAGCCTCCCAAAGGCGCGGGATTACAGGCTGAGCCACCGAGCCCGGCTGGAATCTGCATTTTTAGCATGCTCCACTGGCAATTTTGTGCACACTTAAGTGTGAGAACTACTTGTGTGAACAATTCAACAAAGGCAGATTGAATCCCACCACTAATGTAACAAGACCATTGTGAACTAACATTAGAAATGTACACTGAAGGAATCCATTGTTCTGAGGTCCTCCCTAAAGAGTTTTTCTTCTGCCTCAGTAGTTTTTGCTGTGTTATGAATTACTTCCTGATAAGATGTTGTCTCCCAAATGCATCCCACTTGCCAAACCATGATCACTGTCCAGTCATAGAATTGATATTTGGGGAGAAGGATGCTTCTCAGCGTGCCTTAGACACAGGGTTGTAATTAGGTTTCAGCTCTTCTGTATTTTGGGGGCGCATCTTGAAGTATCTCAGGGACACAGCACCCCCGTGACTATTGTACAATTCATGGCAACATAGCAGCTGAAAATTAAGCTCATTTCAAAGGTCTTGCTTTCTCTGTGTTTGCAAACCAGATCAGACTATTCTGCTATCGAGAAAAACGAGAACAGCTCCTAGCCCTGAAAATCTGTCACGAAGTGATTTGAACTCAATGGCAACTTGTAAGTCAGAGGGAAAATCAATCGACCCATTAGTGAGAATCTCAGAACAACCAGTTTCTTCTGTAGGACACTCACGTTATCACTTAGAAGAGCGTTGTTACGTTAATATGGTCTCTGTAGGAGTAACACTGTCTACCAAGTCCAGGAGTTTAATGGCAAAAAATGTCAAATCCAACTGTCTTTGTGTAGTTTATCAGCTTGACAATTCCTTTGTTCTACTGCTTATATCTTTTAGTTGACACACCACCCCTGCCTTATCATGCCACAGAAGCCCCAGGGACCCAGAATGGCCGGCCTGTAGATGTCATAGCCGATAGACATTTAGTGCTATCAATACCAAATGGAGGTAAATTGCAGATGAACAGCTCAATGTAGCTATTTTCCAAGAGTGTTTCCTGTTGCTCCAAAACAAAACAACTCAAAAACAAAACAAGAAATGTGTTGGGCCGCTATTCTGCATGTGTTTTTCATTTTAACTTTAGCATTTGTTTATCATCCTCGTTACTACAATAAGTTAATTTTTCATTTTAACCTAGAATTTAGACGTGTATAGTTCTTGATGTTTAATATGGAGTTAGGAACTTAAGAAGTTAGAGATTTTGTTCCATTTGTGTTTTTTCTATAGGGTTATGGTGGTGTCTTTTATTTGGCGGGGGGGATGCTCTGAGAAATATACATAAATAGGATTTATACTAAATTTTATTTGCAGCTTACAATAAGCTAGATAAGTGTTGCTCAATTTTAAGGTTCAAATAAACCATGTGGTGATCTTGTATAAATGTAGATGTGCAACTCTCAGTTGGGGGACATCCCAAGAATCTGTATTCTTAGCAAACTCCCGGGTGATGCATAGACCACTGTTCCATGAACTCCATTTTGAGTAGAGTGAGTCTGTAGGAGTCTGTAGGAGTTTACTGTTTAAAGTATCCCAGAGTGAATTATTTTCTAAGTGAAGAACTTTTTATAAATCAAATAATAACTCCCAAATGTATCTATTTCATAAATTTATATTTTAGTAAATATAGGAACATACTCTAGATGCCAGAATTACTGGGATATTCAAGAAAAAGAAAGATAGTATCATCAATAGAAAGACAGAAAAAAGTGTTTGGGTGCCAAAGTAAGATGACTCTGAAGTTTGGTTACAAGAAAGTTACTTAGCTTCAAAACGTAGGGTTAAACATAACATTCATGGGTTTCCTAATGAAATATCCAGCCCTCTTTAAAATATGTTTATGTCACACATAACTACATATCCTAAATGTACACAAATGAGAATGTGATCTCCTCTATGTGGAAGTTTTTTTCTTTCTTAAATAATTTAAAGTCTGATTCAGTGTTGTTGATTTGGTTTTTATAATATCTAAAATATTATTTTACATCCCTAGTTTGTTAGAAAATCATACTTTTTGCCATACGGATTGAGTTGAGCACAATAATAGTAACATGCTAATGTATAAAGGTGAGGCGACCTGGCAGCTTCCTTTTAGCTGTGTTTGCTTCAGATCTGTTCATGTTATCTTGTCCCTGGGCCCTATATTCTTAATGAACTTTCCAACTCTCTTTAAAATATTTTCATGCCACAAATAACAAGATATCCTGTATGTACAAAAAAGAATGTGAGCCCCTCTCTGTGGAAGTTATTTTTCTTTCTTAAATAATTTAAAGTCCTATTCAGTGCTGTTGATTGTTTACAAATGCACTAACCCTGGAAGGTGAACAAGGACCATCACTTCTACTCTTCAGGTGCGATAACCAGATGAGCCAACCCCAGAAAACTTCTATGATAGTGACAAAAGATTACAAAACTGCATACTTGGTCTTGCAGCCAACTGTCTGGGCTAAAAGTGGTCATCTGAGTTTCCTGGTGGAATCATGAGCTGTGCAGCCTAGGCGTGACAGTAGTCATGTGCTATCTGGTTTGTTTTCTTTTAGACTTCCGGCCAGTGTGTTACGAGGAGCCCCAGCACTGGTGCTCAGTTGCCTACTATGAACTGAACAACCGAGTTGGGGAGACATTCCAGGCTTCCTCCCGAAGTGTGCTCATAGATGGATTCACTGACCCTTCAAATAACAGAAATAGATTCTGTCTCGGACTTCTTTCTAATGTAAACAGAAACTCTACAATAGAAAATACCAGGAGACACATAGGAAAAGGTAAGAGCAAATACATCACTACTTTCTGTAGTCTTCTGAGCTGACATGTGGAAATAGAAACAAGTCATATGTTGGTCATGTAACCTTGTGGAGAGACCCCAGGGCTGGCAAGCCATGAGACAGTTCTGGCATTGCCACTGGGGAAGTCACATGGGCTTTCAGGATTTTAGTCTTTCTACCTCTGAAGTCAGCATGCCACCTTCCACGGGGTAGTATGGTATGGATATTGTGAAGAGAAGCAAGATGAGAAATATGGAAGCAGGATGGAATTATTGAATGGAAGTCTAATGTACTGTTTTTGAATTGCCTAAAACATGAAAGCTGACTAGGATAACATCTGAAGAAGAGAAATTCTGTCTGAATGATTATTTATATGAGGTAAAACTCCCCTTGGTGACCAGGAAGCTAGGTAGTTAGAAATAATGACTGATTTCTGTTTGGAAGCAATTGATAGGTGACTGGGATTCTCCTGGGTCCGGGTAGTTGTTACAACTGCTGATTGGGCACAGGCCACACTGGCCTCCAACCAGTGATGCTTTTGAAGCCCATCTCACTGGTGTCAGTGATGGAAGCAAATCCCAACTTAGTAGGAGGCCTGGTTGAGGATCTGTTTTCTTTTGTATCAGAATAGCTGGTATTTCTGAGTGAACCTTTAGAGTCATTTGACGTTTTCTCTCTCCAGCACTGAAACCACCTCAGGAAGGTAGCCTTGAGCCTTTTCTTTCAAATTTCCAGGGGAGATTTATGTTTTCACTTGGCAATGCATTCCAATAGTCTTCCTAACATGCCTCCTAAATGTCTCCTGGTATAGTAAACCTATAAGCTGTTGTTTAGAAACAGGTTGAATGCATTCATTTATGTTGATTCTTAATGGTGACAGTTACTTTATGCTTATTTCTATTCTGACTCTTTCCATAGGGGCTTTGAGGTGGGTTATAAGAAAACATTGCAGTGAAATGACAAGTGAAAAATAGAAAATCAGAAACTAGGGTTAGGGAGAGGAGAAGAATTCATATATGTCATCCACAAGGGTTACACTGTGACTGTGGTGGTGATTTTGCTGTAGGTTTCCTGACAAGGAGGGCAGAAAAGAGAAACTTACCCTGTAACATAGTTTGAATCCCTAAAGGGGAAACATAGCCATTCCTCAAAGGAAATAATATTTTGTCTTTGATTAAATTAATAAACAAGTTTTTAGGTATGACTACTTTCAAATGATTTTTATAGGACCCTTTAGTGTAATCTAAAGGCAGAACTGTAAGATGTCATATTGTGGAGCTGTTTGCTGAGGTATTTCACAGACTGGTCTACATATTAGGCTTCTGCTGGTGCCAGTGGATCTAACAATAACATTACAGCCTGACCAGGTTCTTATGCCTGCTGCCCAGAAAAACCGAGACTGATGCAGCTGTCATAGTAGAGAAAGAGTTTAATATCACATAGCTTCTAAGTAAGGAGGAAAGGAGATATTTCTCAAATTCGCCTCCCTGAGAATTTTAGGCTAGTTTTTAAAGGAATAATTTGGCAGTCAGGGGGCTAGGGATCAGATGTTACTGATTGTTTGGGAATGAAGTCATGAGGTGTCAAAACTGTCTTTGTGGCTGAGAGTGGTGGCTCATGCCTGTAATCCCTTTGGGAGGTGGAGGCGAGAGGTTTGGCTGATCCCACGGGTTCAAGACCAGCCTGGACAACATGGCAAGACCTCATCTCTACAATAAATCAAAAAATTAGCTAGGCATGGTGGTGCACACCTGTAGTTCAGTTATTTGGAAGGCTGAGGCAGAAGGGTCTTCTGAGCCCCAGCAGGTCGAGGCTGTGGTGGCCGTGAGCAGCTTGCCACTGCACTTCAGTCTGGGGGACAAAGTGAGTGAGACACCGACTCAAAATCCAAAAACAAAAACTGACTTTGTAGGCAATCAGCTTCTGGGGGAAGGGAGCTCACAGGACGGGTGGAGCCAGCTCTTTGGTATATGTCCTGGGTCTGGGTGGGATCTCAGGTCCATAAGAGTAAAAAACATCTCAGACTCCATTCTTGTGTTTTACAAGAACTGCTATCTATAAAGCAAGGCCTGTGACCATTGGCTACTGGGCATAAGCCATTATAGAGGTAGTTTAGGAGAAAGGTATATGGAAGATAGGGTTCTTGGAGATTAGAACTGTTTATGTCATCGGCTGATCAAACTTCAGGATGTCACTAAGGAGATCTGTGCGGCCTTAGGTTCATTGTTAAAGGGAAACTATGTGTATCAGCTTCATGGGCAGCTCTCCCATTCCCTAGGGGTCAGGACATGGACAGTCAATTGCTCTCTATTGATGTGACTGTGTAAACAATCATGCCAGTAACAGATCTGTTCATTTCTGACCACAACTGCAGCTTATACAGGGCTCAGATCTCTTCTGCAGGTTTTTCTTCATGGCCCAATGTTAATTTTTATAGGTGGTTTCATTTGGATTAAAATAATAAAGGAATGCTGAATACCTTCTGGAAATCTTTTTGCAAGTAGCTTCTTCAAGGTGCCCCTGATGAGTTAGTCTGTTTCTGTTGCTATAAAGGAATATCTGAGGGTAATTTATAAAGAAAGGTTTACTTGGCTCGTGGTTCTATAGGCTGTATAAGAAGCATCTGCTTCTAATTAGGGACTTAGGAAACTTCCAATCATGGCAGAAGGGGAAGGGGAACCAGCGTGTCACATGGTAAGAGAGGGAGCAAGAGTGAGTGGGGTCAGTGCTGGGCTCTTTTTATCCATCAGATCTCTCTCAGGAACTAACTAATGAGAGTCGTTAACTCTCTCATTACCTGGAGGATGGCACCAAGCTGAACATGAGGGATCTGTCCCTATGACCCAATCACCTCCCACCAGTCCCCACCTCCAACATTGGGGATCAAATTTTGACATGAGTTTTGGAGTGGACAAATGTCTAAATTCTGTCGGTTGCTGTTCTGTGTTACTGCCTGAGAGCTCATCCATAGGGCTAAGACACAATACGAGCAAGAGCCAGGACTGATAAACTGTTCCAAAAACCGGAACACCTAACTAGTGTTCACTCTCATGTGGTTCCCAAGACAAAGTCAGTTTTTCTACAGAGTTACTTAGGAATTACTCTAATGTGAAAAAAAAATTCTTTTTTTGAGTCAGAGTCTCACTCTGTCCCCAGGCTGGAGTACAGTGACACGCTCACAGCCAATTGCAGCCTCTACCTGCTGGGCTCAGGTGATCCTTCCTCCTCAACTTCCAAGTAGCTGGAACTATAGGCACGCTTCATCATGCCAAGATAACTGTTTGATTTATTTTAGAGACAAGGTCTCTCCATGTTGCCCAGACTGGTCTTGAACTCCCGGGCTCAGGCAGTCTTCTTGCCACAGCCTCCAAAGTGCTGGGATTACAGACGTGATCCACTACGCCCAACCAGAATTTTTTTTTGAAGGGGAGTTACAAGCTATGCCATAAAGCATGACTGAAAAGAGTTGGCTTGGAAGGTTTTAAAGCAAGGGCCATCAGTCTGTGAGATGATGAGAACCTCCCTCAAGTGCTGCCATGGGCTTACCTGGTTCTGAGCAGCATGGCTTCCTGGAACACCAGCTTGTATAAGTTAGTTGTTAAATGCACTCCTAGGGTGGCAAATGAACTAACTTGCTCTGCAAAGTTAATCAATAGAGACACATTTTAGAGATACGCGTTCATCTCACAAATATTTACTGAGCACCTATTCTTGGCCAGACAAGACACCTGGAATGCAGCAGGGAAAAAAAGACAATATCCTCTGTCTTCATGTATTACATGCTAGTAGGGAAAAGACGGGCAAGAAATACTCTATATGGTATGTCCAATAGAGAAAAACAAAGCAGAGAAGGCCTTCCTAGAGGGCGACATTTGAGCAGAGAGCTAGAGAGGTTACTGGTAATGTGGACATTTGGGGAAAAAGCCTTCCAAGCAAAGGAAAAAGCAAGTGTGAGGGTCCTGAGATTGCCTGGCATGTTGTAAGAAACAGCAAGGAGGCCAGTGTGTGTGGAGCAGAGTGAGGGGACAGGACCAGGTCACTGGAGCCCTGCAGGAAATGGGAAGATAGATTTAGGTTGAGGCATTTATGTGATTTCAGTTTACACTTGAAAAGGACCGCCCCCCCAGCCTGGCTGCTCTACTAAGATTAATTAGACTATGGAAAACAAGGGTGGAAGATATCTACCAAAATAATTCTTTTAATTATAGTTAGTGACGAGCCATTCTCCCTCTCAGTAGTTAACAGCTTTGAGGCCACTTCTTGATTGTGCGCCTTGTGACTTAAAATTAGCTAAGATGGCTGGTCCTGTTGAAGGAAGGGCGAGTTACCACCCTGTCAGTAGTGCAAGCACTTTGAGTTGCGTTTTCTCTGGTGAGGAGGGTGTGTGCTGATTCACCCTGCTTTCCAACTAGTGGGATGCACCATGAGGCAGTGGGACTGGTACAAGGCATTTATTGTACCCATGCAACAGATAACTGGTGCAAAGGGATTGAACCTGTGACTCTGCCTTCACTACCAAAGCGCTTTAAATAGCCACTAACAAGTGGGCACTAGCACACCAAAAGCTACCACAGAAGTGTCAGAGACAGTACCTTGAGCAACCTGGACCTCAGCATTCTAATGTGGGATCTACCAACATTCCTCCTTGGAAACCAGGCAAACCACTTGAACTCTCTCCAGTGACATGCTAAATAACAGTACAGATGATTTTGGCAATGATATTGTGGTAGGATTTTACAGAGAGAGACAGGATACCAAGGCCAGGAAGCAGTCAGCAGATTTACATCTAAAAGCTGAGCCCTGAACGCAGGGGGGCATTGCCTTTTATACATTTTTAGCTTCTTTGTCTCCCCAATAAGGCCTACATAGTAGTAACATATATTTTAATTGGGTATTTCACAGCTCAGAGTTGCAGCGAAGTTATACATGCACACTACAGATTGGGGGCTACATACCTTTTTAGCATGAATATTCCAAGAAAGTTTTTATCTTATGGTGCT